GGGGGGGGTGAAGGAGGACAATGGAAGTGTTCTTTAGGCTTGAACTATATGTCCTTACAATGATCTTTCCCCTAAAGAGCATGAAAAATGATTGAACTAGCAGCAAAAAAATAAAAAAGAAAGTAAGAGAACTAAGAGCTATATCTTGTGATCACCCAAAAGGCATGGAAGAGTGTGTCCTCCCTCTTGGATCTCTCTTTCTTCTATCTAAACATGTTAAGGGAAAAAATAAAATTTGAGACGTGTTGTATAAAATTTGGTCATGATGTCTCGATGAAAAGATTTTGACGTGGATGCCAGGTGGCTTTATAAATGAGGATGTTTGTCAGTCTTGACGTTTTGCACTCTGTCATTTTAGAGAATCATTTTTGAGATGACCTCGACAAATGAATATGATAAGTCAATTCAACAGAACAATTCGTAGTTCAATTTAGCAGGTCAGCTCAACAGTTGGCAGAGGGCCTCTTACACAACGATGAATGAGATCAGCATATCATCTTAACAGATTATTCCAGCAGTGGTTGTTCCTTTTGAGTAGATGTGGTTTTCAGGCCCATAAGACATATTAGGTGTGTGCTTTGTCCCACAAAAGATGATTTTTGGCTATACAATTATATATTGAATTAAATCTTCTACCATGATTAAATTCAATCACTTTGAATGCCATGTAAACCAACATTCTCCTTTGCATATTATTGATCCAACTATTTTATTGGGTTAGTTTATCTTACATACAAGAAATGCACTAATTTATCAACATATCAACTATTACATATATTATCACAGTTTTGTGTTGACCTAAGAAAATGCATAATAATAAAATTCATTATAATCTCTTTTTATTTTTATTTAATAATATGAAAATGATGTAATAATTTATTAGTTCAATGTTGCTTCAGTTTTGTTATTTATAAGCTTCACATTTTGATATAAACTGGTTATTTTTCTTTTTAAAAATATGTCATTGAATTATTAATTTTAAATCATGATACATCTTACTTTCAAGGTGAATAATATAACCAAAATAACCAAATTTATATAATGTTTATCTTCCTAACCCTAAACAATTAAAAACACACTATCAACCTCTGTATATAAACACTCCATTTTCATTCAACTACAATTCTCTTATCTTCCCTTGCATCAATTTTTCCATCAATGTCCCATGTTGCTTGTCAAGTTTTTTAATTCTCTGAAATCACTCTTATGTAGTACGTTGAACAATTATTTAAGATGACAATTTGTTAGACATGCCAATTAAATTAACTATTTTCAATTTTAACTTTAAAATTCTATAAAGTTGTGTGGCTTTAGATGTAATCATCAAGTTTTCCTTTCATATAGACATTTTGATCAAAGCATTAGCAACAACATTTGTTTTTTTAGTTTGAAATTAAATCTTAATATTATATTATTTAATAATTTAACCACCTTTATTGTATCAACTTCAACTTCTAAATAGATATATATCTCAAAATTTGATGGTTAGTGAATATTTCAGATTTCACACTATAAAAATTATGTATCAAAATCAAGGTTAAATATAAATGTTATCAATTATAGATTGTGGGTAGGATAATTTTATTTACGTTACTTTAATTACTTGGATACATATGTTACTACTTTAACATGTTACTTCATTATGTGTTGCTTGCTGGAGTAGTTAAAATAGGTATTTAGTAAACCTTATTTTTTTATGTTCAAGCGATTCTTCTATATTTTTTCTCAGAAACAATCTCTCGACGAAATTCATCACATCACATAATAATAATAAAGATAAAAATAGGGAAGAATGAGAGAGTTGATAAAATAAAAAAGGTAACCATTAAAATAAATAAATAAATAAAGACATGAGGATTTTCATTGGTTCTTATTTGTAGGATAAGTAGGATACACAAATCTTAAAGAACTATGCTAACCCTATTTGTCCAAATTCAAAAGAAGACTTATAAAAATTCTTCACATATAATTAGAGAATCACTTTTTTTTAATAGGTATGTAAGCGCTCCCAAATAGACATATCTCAATTGGTTCATTACATACGTGGCAATACCAATTAAAACTTTTGAATCTAAAAAAAGAAAATACTATTGTTATAAAATCTAAGAATAGAGCCATCAAAGGAATATCATTTTAATTGAAAGAATCACTGTGTTGTTAAGACTAAATCAAGCCATCGGGCAGAGGTTTAATATAGTGACGTGGTAAATAAGTGTTTTCTAATAAAGAGGGCCTATAAAATGATGTCAGTATTATGATGATCAAAATGAATGAAAATACTAAAAAATTGGTGCTAAAAATATATACAATTTTTCTAAAAAGGGTAGACATAACTCATCTATAATTTTATGGATCTATCATCCTGTGCTATTATACCTTGAATCAACTTAGTCGTAGAGGTAATTGACACAAGTAAACCCAAAAAATTCTATCAACAATTCATGAATGGTGTTGTTCAATAAAAATTTACAAATTCAAAGTCAAGGAATAAAACTAACTCTTAATCCTTTGACTTATCTAGTAGAAGAGGCAAGGATATGATTTATCCCTCCTATAATATGGTAAGAGGCTTATGGATAGAATGATAATAGGATAGAATAACTCACTCATAAAGATCAAGTCATTCATATATGGACTTACGATATTGTTTGGACCAAGATAGCTACTAAATTTCTTAAACACTACAGACAACCACCTAAGCGATTATAAATTATGTGGCTATTCAGGTGAAGGAAAGCAAGTATGCTTCTTAGGAATATATAAATGATTTGATATTACCTATCTCTAATATGGAGGCTCTTTTAATATGAAAGTGCTTAGGACATGACATGTTGGTATATTAAATTTTGAAAAAAAATTGGCAATGGTCCATGCAATAAAGAAGAATATTTTTATGAAAATTTAGCGAGTTTTTCTTTTTTTTTTCAAGTGGACAAATTATCAGATTTTGTAAATAAATTATTTTTTTCCTAAGAAAAAAAACATACCATAAAAATACAAGTGTAGGAAAAGTAACACTCAATTAAAATAATACATAAAATAGGCTGGTCATCGTTGGGTTAACAATATATCCTATAAAAAGGATAATTAGGCAAACAAATATACAACTATTATTCTAATCTATAAAAAATTTGGCACAAGACATGAGATATTAACTCTCGGCCCTCATTTATGAATAGTCCCAGTCCTCGACTCGAAGGAACCCATGCTTGCTTCTTATTTTCAATACAAACACTTTCTAAACTATAAAAATACATGAAAAAAATTTAAAATTTACATGCTCAATCCCCTACAAAATAGAAGTCCTTATGCACATTTATAAAACATGAAACACTTAATTAGTCATGTTCAATGATATAGCTCACAGAACCATAAAAAGGCATTATGACATTATCATTTAAACTTCCTTTATTGTGGACATGACTCTATGGATTGTCTAATGTATTCCTAATATAGTGCAAAAGTCTTAAACTCAATAAACACCTTTGAAAAATATCACATAAAATGCATGGTCGGTCATAAATAAATACACCATAAAAGATATATATAAACATGCCATAACACCCCCGGGTCGGGGGTTTGATCCCTGCGTAGGATCGAATTGCACAACTGTCTAGAAGAGGGGTCTGCCCCTCGGCAAGACTATGGGTTTGATCGGCGATCAACCTTTTATATACATACATATATATATATATATATATATATATAGCTGCATCCTAATTTAAACTTAAATAAATATCTGAAGGTGCGCTTATAACAACATCTAAATGTGTTCAAGTTGGCGTGGTTGAAAGCATGCCCATGTGATTTTGACATGGTTACTATGTCTAATCCAATCCTAAGAATCTAATTAGACTAAAAGTAATCATCCCAATTTGATAGACCTTTTAAAAATAATTTGTTTTAAGAAATAAATATACATATAAGGTTTTACGTGAGAGAAAATGAATACTAAATAATAATGAATTGATATCATATCCTAAGCTATTCATATTCCTAGAACAATCCTTGCGATGTGATTGTAACATAATAATTCATGTTATGTGAGGAGATATACTCACATATAACAATGATTAAAATATCACAATCATAGGTTAAAACATAAAAAAACCTTCCTCAAAGCATACTACAATCATACAAATCGCAAATGATTAAAAGCATTTTATACAAAATGTATAAAACACATCAGTTGGAATTCAATTCAAGTGATGGTGGTTCAACGACTATGGTTTGTTGATGGTGGATGAGTGACGATAGTTTAACAATGTCATACCAAATATAACAGTTAAGTGGTGATGATCAGATGGTGGTGGTGCAATAACGGTGAATGGGTGGTGACTATCTTATGACACTTGATGACTGATAATGGTGGTCGTTAAACATCAATGATGCAAAGACAATCTTATGACGGTGAATAATCGATGGTGGTGATTAGGCATCAACTATCATGCGAGGGCTATCCAACTTTACCAATCTGATGCCGATGATCATGTACATCTCAAGGAACTTTAGACCCCTCAACTGCCTTCATTTTTAATCTCTTATTTTATTTTTTAGGTAAGATTAGCGATTGAATTACAAATTTTATCATTGCAATTATCCATAAATTTAGAGTGGGTTTTTATCTTATTTTTTTCCATTGCTTAAATGCTTCAATATTAAGTGATATTAGACTCATTTGAATTTTTTATTTTTTATTTTGTCAATATACTTGATACGATTATAAACATGAAATATTTGAAGTTCATTCGGTCCCCTCATTATTTTCTTAAAAAGTCCTAATTTTACTTTAAACGCTTCATCTAGACTCATTTAGACTTGAAACAAATCATTTTTTATGTCGTTAAGCTCATCTCATCGAGACGTATAGTTAGATTATAAACTTGCTAAAATTACACTTAAAATTGTTGATTTTAAATGCATAAATGTGAATTTTTGCGACATGAAGCTCAAAATCAGGAAAAAATATTACATCAGTACTACGCACGTAAAAATAACGTGCGTAGCCAATCAAAACACGCCACGATATCTCGCGCGGTAGAGCAAAAAAAACGGCGCAGTAACACGG